ATGATATGATATACTGTATTTTTCGCTCTATAAGACGTGCTTTTTTCCCCCTGAAAAGTAAGGGGAAATGTCTGTGTGTCTTATAGAGCAAGAGTGTGTGTGCCCAATGCCTGGGATGCTGCCGGCCCGCCTGCACCACGTGGCACCACCTGGCCGGCACGCGCTCGGCGCGCCCTGCTCTGCCCCCGCCCCCCGGCGCAGGTGAGAGCTGTGCCACTCAGGGGGAGTGGTGCGGAGGAGGAGGAGGAGCCATGGCCTTTAACCCGCCAGCCGCATGGAGAGATGGACTGCTCACCCCCACCGCCCAGGAAGACCTGCCGCCACGCCGCCCAGAAGACCACCGCTGGCACGCTGCCGGCCCGGCTGCACCACACCTGGCCAGCACGCACTCGGCGCGCCCTGCTCCACCCCCTTCCTCCAGCACAGGTGAGAGCTGTTAATCACAGGTCGGTGTGTGTTTTCAAATGGAAACCCATCTTTTAATGAAGCCCATGGGGAAGTGATGGGGAATGTGCCTGTGATTATCAGGAAGCTTTCCATGGATCCCTCCTCTAAAAACTAGGTGCGTCTTATGGTCAGGTGCGTCTTATAGAGCGAAAAATACGGTAATCAAATTAGGCCAGGAACATTGTTTATTCTATTTTCCTTAATTTGTGTTATATGTATAATGCCACTTATGCACATGGTGCTTTCCGAGTAACATAAGATGACATATGTTTCCCTAAGAATGTACAGTCTTGACTTAGGGGGAGAATAGGCAATGAAAGAAAAGAAGGAAAGACAGAGGTAAGGGTAGCAGAGAATGTGTGTGAAGGTTTAAGTGCCTCAAGTCTTTAGGAAGAGTTGGGTTACCCTAAAAATTATAACAAACATGTGAAACTAAAATAAGGCTTTTTTTCCAAATAGCCACTGTTTCTCTTATATAGGATCAAATTAGCAGGCATAGTTACATGTATTCCTGCTTAAAATATGATTAGAAACTGTTGTGGGATATAATTATATTATTTATTTCACTTCTATACCACAGTCAAAGTTGTCTGGGCAGTTTACAGCAGCCCAGCATTCTATGCATGTTTAGACAGGTAATGGTCCTACAATCTTTTTCTTTCTAAAAATGGATTGTGCCCTGAGTTAAATGTGGGTACGGGAAGAGAATTCATAGTATTATTGACCAGAACAACTGTTTGCATGCTAAACTTCTACTAATTTCAAAAGGTACCCCATCCATTTCATGGAATACCCCACTAATTCCAGGTAAATGTATGTAGAAGTGATTTTTTATAAAAAACACAGCTGTTCCACCTTATGAGTCAGTGCAGTAGCAGATACAATTACTAAACAACAGCTCAAGAGAAACATTGACTGCAAAAGAGAATTGGACATTTAAAAGGTTTATATTTGTAAAATTGTCTGCTTAACCCTTATGACCCCATATATATTTCTAGACTAAAATTGTATGACATTCTTGTACAAATGAATAATTAGCAATGTGATCTTAATCAAATGATCAAATCTTTGTGACAGAACTAACCACAAACCATGTATCAACTGTTAGCTCAATAACATTTCTATTAATACAATTCCAGAAAGCTATTTAAAAACAAACAAACCTCTGATTTTAGGAAACAAATCGTGAATCATCACCATCTCAAGGAATTGCTTTTCATGTTCTTTTGCAGCATACATTCAACACACGGGAGAAAAATGTTTTATCAGACAGTAACTCTGTTGGTGAGCTCATACAGGAAGAAAGAAATGAAGTCATAATCTGGCCAGGAGACTAGGTTAGAGGAAGTGGATTACGCTACATGATTTATAATGACTTTTGTAAGATACCTTTTCTTGTTTACTTCACTTGTCCTTGTGGCTAGCAACAAACACATATTCTTTGTTCACTTCTTGAATTCTGAATAAATGAAATGGTGATGTTTAGATGTGGGAGGACAGTCAATGAACATCTGCATGCATCAGCTCCAATATAAAGGTCAGCATTGCAGGTATTTCCTCCAGAGCTCCCATAGCAGAAGAGGCAGCCAGAAGTAGACACAGGACATAAACCCTTCCTAGCAGCATCACTTCAGACAGGTGAAACATCAGAAAAAAGCTTGGGTGAATGAGAATTCCAAGGTAAAGAAAATATAGTAAATCACATGGGAAAATGTAACATGACAGAAGGAGAAAATATGAACACGGGTAGCAATTCTATGTATGTTTACTCGGAAATAAGTTCCCTTTAGGGATTACTACTTTAGGAGCTACTTCTGAGTAAACATGCATAGTCACAAACTGTACGTTTCACAAAATGTAGAGGCCCAAAGATTTTGCTGTACAAGCTTTCCAAAAAGGAAGAGTGCTGCAACTGAGGAAAGTCAGCAACACCTCCCCATTGCAAAGCACAAGCACCTTCTGTTCACACACTGAGATACTTGAATCCAAGCCTCTAAAGCTCAAGATGATTTTCCTAACAGCTATGTAATTCTAACATGGAGATAAGCGTTACACTTCTGATTTTGCAGAGTCACCACAGTTGACCTCGGGGGAAACAGCTTCTCTCTTATCAGTGTCATAGTAAAAGGCACCCCATTTTGTGAAAACGCCAACTGTCTGAGTGAAAGAGCCAAATGGTTTGGTTTATCCATGTTTACATCACAGCGGCACCAGCTTACTAACAGAAGTAGGAAGTTGAAAGCCGAACACATCTCTTAATTGCAAAACTTGGCAGTCCTAGGCACTAACAGCATCCTTACAATCAAACTCTAAAATACTGAGAATATTAGTACTGATTAAACTCATCTTACCCAGCTAAAATAAGATCCCAGTTAAACAAGAGTAAAATGCTGAGTTAAGCCCCATAGTGAATATATGTACCATGTGATATCCATGTAGGACAAAGGTCACAGCTGTTCAGCAAGCACAAAAGAAGAAACAAATAGCACTATTTCATTTTCATTAGTTCGGCATTCGTATTTCACTCTTTCAACACACAGCACAAATTTTTATCTATTCCACTCAACTATTAGCAGGCCACCTATAAAAAGGCTTCACAAAAAGAAAATATACCTGATTATTACTTATAATGACCATAATGTAATGACTTTGATTTCCCCTTAAAGGAACACAGTAATTAGGAATTGTGGTGGAATAAAATATTAGCAGAGATCAGCTATGGGCACCAATCAACAACTTTTGATTGGGATGAAATATTACCCAGTCAACAACTTGTCAGAAGAAAAATAATTCTGTTTGGAAAGATTGCTGTAATACCATCATTATTTACATATCCAATTCTTGTGTAAAAACAGAACTTAATGTGTTGTGACCATGACCATCCCATATTGAGGAAAAAAACAAAAGTGAAAATTCAGACACTATGAAAACTGAATTTCTGAAAAAAAAATTGTAATTAAAAGCAATTGGAAAATCAACTATCAAAACAGTGTTGTCCTCTTTCCAGAATAATAAGAGGGCCACAAAGTACTGATACACAGATTTAACAGAAGAAAATTTAACCTGCTTATTACCTGGGACAGAAATTAAGTTGTGAGGAGGACTTTTCAGACCAGATAAGAAAAAGCAACTCCAAAATAAATTTTCTTATCCTACTTAAGTCAACTAGAATAACAGTAGCATAAAATGTAGGAAGAAAAAAGAGACAGTAAAAACCAAGGCTTTTTTTGTCACAGAACGCACCGGAACAGCGTTCCGGCACCTTTTTTTCCAATGGATTTTACAAAGTGATTTTGAATTTTTGGCATAGCAGGTCAGCAGCAAACATCATTACCACAGTGCCTGCGGGCTGCTTTTGTGTCTGCGGCTTGGGATGCTGCTTGGCTTGGGACTGGTGTATGTGGTCGTGCACTGAGCGCTTACTGCCAGCGGCGACGTGAGTTCCGGCATTTTTTTTTTTTTTTACAAAAAAAGCACTGGTAAAAACTATCCATACCATATTGTACACATACACAGACATGGCACATTTATATCCTGCCCTTCAGTCAAAAAGGCTCCCAGAGCAGTATACAAAAGTAAGTAGCATGACAGTCCCTGTCTCAGGATTACAGCAAGATGTTAACATTAATGCCATTAATAATAATTGACAGCACAGGACTGAGGCTCAGGCGACCTGGGTTCTAGTTCCTGCTTGATCATGGAGCCAACTGGGTGACTTTGGAGCAGTCATGGACGCTCAGTCCAACCTACCTCATAGGGTTGTTGTGGGGATAAGATTGAGAGGAGGGGAATGATGCACGCCACTTGAGTTCGTAAGAAAAAAATCAAGTGAATAAATGACACAAGCCTAACTCATTGGACAATCTTCAAAGTTATCATTTCTAGATAAATTAGTAGTTACACAGACCAGCTCTTTTATCAGGGTTGAGAGTGCACATGCTTGTTGAGGAGAACTGAGGCGGAGTGGTTAATATAACCTAAGGATTTGCATGGAACTGGCAAATGGGCACACGTAGTGCACATCATGCAGGTTACGCACAAATATGGAGATCTGTGCCAGGAACTAGTGTTTCACAATCAATGTTTATAGCCTCTGAAGGATGTCACAGAGAACATGCAGAATAGCCAACAACTGTCATCCAGCAGCCATTTCATTGGGCTGACATCCCACAAAGTTGTCCCCTACACAGGTTAGGCCATAACAGAGAGAGATAGGAAGAGGGCCATTTTCATAGGCTCTGCTGGGAGTCCTGCAATTGTTGGCTTCTCTTTTTCTTTCCATTTCAAGAGGTTGCAATCAGAAGACAATGTCTCACTGTGTTACAGTGATACTATAACAATTATATATTACATTACAGTTGATCATTGTAGGAAGTGCACAGTATTAAGAAGGGGTTCTGAGGTTGTCCTATTTTCCTTTATCCTTCTAGTCCACTTTCCTGTTTGTTTTCCCTATTTTAAGCCTGAGGGCAGCGACTGTCTTGTGTTTGTTCATCTGTAGGCTACTCTGGATGCTCCTTCCAGAGGAATATAAATGATAATTAACCACTGACCTGGTGTTATGCTTATTTGGTTCAACACGACTTAGAGGTTCTGCATACTGACGACGCTGTAAGCTTGCAACCCCATGGAGCGGTCATTACAAACGGTGGTTGCTGTCATGTGCCGTCTCTCATTTATGAACGCCCTCCAAAATGTCCTGTCCTTAACAGCCCTACTCAGCTCTTATAAACCCAAGACTGGCTTATTATAAACTGAGTCACCTGGAAACCAACAGACCATGCTAATTAACATACCTAAATCCATATTAGTATAATACTTTTACTAGTCCCATCGAAAGATCATTAAAATGTGCAAATCCTTTTTTATGATCTTTGGCTGGTTAGGGGGAAAATAGATATTCAGAACTTTTCGTAAGGCTCAACACGTCTATCTTTGTTTTCTTTCAACAAAATAGCTCGTAACGGCCCTTTGCACTTCCCCCTCTCGGCTTCCACTTACTCCTCTCCAATTCCGAACGAATGAAGAGAGACAAACAAAAATACCCCGCGGACGGCTGACGCCCCACCCTTCGTCGGTTCCCCGCCCCGCTTCCTTTCCATACTCCCCCTCTCCCCGCTCCTCCTCTTCACAGCACTTGAACCGCGGAGGCGGAGAGAAGGGGGAAAGCGCTGCTGAGGGAATGACAGTGACGTTGACGATGACTGTTCAACTGTGAGGCGGCGGCGGCGGCGGCGGCGCCTGCGCCGTCGCTTCTCGCACACGTCGCCTTTCCCCTCCGCTAAATTCTTTCCCAACCCGCGAGGGCAGGGTGCGCGGGATTGCAATGGTGACGTAGCTTGCCGCCCTTCCTCCTTCCTGTCCCTCCCAGTCGCCCACCGCGAGTGACTCCCCATCAGGGCTGAACGAGCGTGCTCGTGCCAGTCAGCAGCCGGGCGGGCGGGCAGGCGGGCGGGCGGCCTCACTCTCTCGGCTCCGAGCGTTTCTGGCGTCGACGCGCCTGCGCGGGCGCGCGCGCGCTCGCTCGCGTTCGCCAGCTACACAAGTGGCGGTTTGTGCGCGTGAGGCTGTATATTCCATCAGGCCCCGGAGGCTCGTGGCGGCGGCGGCACTGCTGCCGCCATTATCACCCGCGCGCGGCAAAGAACCATCTTCCTCTTGCTCCCCCTGCGGCGTGTCTGGCCTCGCGCAGCAGCAGCAGCAGCAACTCCTCCTCTTGCTGTTGGAACAAAGGAAGGAAGCGGCGGCGGCGGCGGCTGCTGCAGTAGCAGCGGCAGCAGCTCCGGGACTTTCCTCCCGCTACGCCCGGTACAGCGGCTCCTCTCGCACTCCTTTTTTGTGCTCTTCTTAAGCAGGTGCCTCGCGAGGACCGAACGAGCCGGTGAGTCATCAGACCATTTTCCTGGCATCGCTTGCCTCTTTCCCTACTCCCGAAACCCTCGTTTGCGTGTTGGGGGAGGGGACCCGATGTCCTTTGTCTTTCCCACACCGAATGGCGGGGAGAGGCACGCGTGGGCGGGGGTATGTTGAGGGGACGGTGCTTCGGGGGCAGTCTCGGTTTGTTTGAGCGCGGAGAGCTCTCTGGGGGAGGAGGAGAGTGCGCGGGAGCTTCCACGTCGGCCTGTTTTCCTCCCCACAGAAGGAAACTGGGCGGCCGGAGGTGGACAAAGGGCCGCTGTGCCAACTTGACTTGGTGTTCTTGATGAAGGGGTGGAGAGAAAAGGGGAAACACTCCCGTGGATGCTTTTTATTCTCCTCCTCCGCCAGCTTGAAACGTCTCACTGTGAGGCTTCATGGCAGATGAAATGGGAGAGAGTTAAAAATCACTGGAACGTGAAAGTGGCGGGGGAGAAATGGGGGCCGAGGAGAGGAGACAAAGAGCTGGAAGGAGACAATGAGCTCTCCTCTTCCCGGCTTTGCGTGGGATCGGAGCTTCCCCCTTTTCTTTCCCTTCGCCCCACCCCCAGCCGCGCGAGCCACCCCTCCCGCGTCCGAGCGGCGGAGGCTCCGGGCGTCTTTGTGTCGGGGAGTTGGCGCGCGCGCGCGGCCGAGCGAGCGAGCGAGCGAGTTGACCTGGCGGGTGGGGGCGATCGTATGGCTTCCCTGGGCTGGCTTGGCCTTGCCATGACTCAGTGGTTTTCTTTCACGAGGCCCCCAGGCCTTGGTGTGTGCTAGTCAGCTGGGTGGATGTGGCTCGAAGGGGAGGGAGGGGTAACGACCAGGTTCGAGCCCGGTTCCTGCCTCTTCCTCTCCCCTTGCAGCCTCCCACTCCCCCCTCCCGTTTTACAAGGAGAGTCCGCCCAGGCCATCATTGCCTGCCATTTTCTAAATCTCTTTCCTCAGCGCCTTTTATGTCCCCGAGTCCTTGGCGCTCTACAGCGAATCTCTTTCCTTTCTCTGCACTCTCACCCCCCTTCTTCCCCGTGCTCTGTGCTGCTGGCAGCTTCTTCGCCTTTGTTTCTCTCCCTTGGCTCGTCTCAGTTTTGCCACTATGAAATGTCTACTTTTTTTCTTCCTCCTCCCCGCAGCTTTAGAATTTGAGTAGAATAGAATAGCAATAAGCTATGGCACTGCACTATTTTAAACACACATCCTTGTTTATCCAAGTACCTTTACTGTATGTGCCTGTAGCTAGCTGTTTAGCTATATTAGTAGTAAGGTGAGCCACCTAATAACTGCCATTGGTATGATTTTAATCCTCTCTTCCTTTATCTTAAATTCTGATTTTGAAAGTGTTGATCAACATGCACAGGCTGTTGATTAATAGAATTTGCATTTAATGAACTCCTTTGTGTTGTTGAAGAAAGCTACAACCTTTGAGTTTTCATAGTAGGTTTTTTTGGTCATGTAATTGAATATTCAACATATCATAGTGAACCATTACTGGCCATTCTGTAGCCATGCATTTTTGCAATTATTTGTGGAGCTCATATAGAACAGTTCCATAAGAGCATGCTATGAAGTTGAAGAAAAGCATCTCTTTTTAGGCTGTATCATTTTTAGGTGGAGAATAGGAATCAAACATATTTTAGAAATAAACCACCTTGTACTATTGTCTGTACAAGTATTTTAAGAGTAGCAGAATGGCAGTAGTTTGGTCTCTTAACCCTTTATTGTTCCCTCTACTTTTGCTCAAAGTTAAGATTGAAAATCATTGCAGCTCAATTACCTTGTTTAATTATTTAATTATAAGGTCATTCTGTTTCTCTTTGTTGAGTATTGTATAATTGTGTTAATTGGCTTTTTATATTTTTCGATTGTACTAAGTACATACTTTGTTGCTTCAATACTATAAACTGCAGGAGCTGGGCAGCCTCTTGAGATATAAATAGAAGCTGATTTCAGAGGCCCCTGTTGACAAGGTTTTGTCTGAGCCTCTAGCTCAGCCTGTCACATTGCAGCCTTGTGACAAGCGGAAGCTAATGCACTCACCCATGTGACCTTAGCTTCTGAGAAATATTAAAGCAAGTAGACACATGTGATGGCATTAGAACCTAACATTCCACTGCAAAGTTAAAATTGTAATGGCTAGTAGTCCGATCATAACATTGATTCCAACTGGCTGCATGAAAACAAATTACTTTGTGTCTTTGTTCAGCCACATATGGTTTGTACTTCCCTTACTATATTCATTTGCAGATACCGACTTTTTCATAATGATAATGGTGATGTCATTCAAGGTTTTAAATTGGATGGTGCAAATTGTACATGTGAGAGCTGAAAATTGCATGATTTGGCATTTATTGAGGGAAGCTTTATCTTTATGCAAATTCTTTATCACAGCAAAGTGGACTGAATAGTTCCAATATTTTCAGTGAACTCGGGTTTTTTAGTTAGCTTTGGTGTTACATGATTTACATTTACTATGCCCATTTTATATCGGTTTTAATAAGTGAAGTTAATTTTTGAGCACACACTCTTCCAAACATGGTGTTTTAAAATTACAAGCTGATTTCAATAGGTTGGATAAGCTTCTGATGAAGTTATTGCTGGAAATTTGACTTAGAATTTTATTTGACAATTTCATCTACAACTGGAAAAATAAACAAGGCCTGTCTACTTTGAACATGTCTTTAAAAGGTTGGATATAAATACTGTATCCATGGTACATATAAGACTCCTATGTGTTCATTTAAAAATTGCCTCTGGCACTACTTTCAGTCAATTTTTTTATGTTTGATACGTAATTGACTACCACAGTAAATTCTTAAATTGAAAAAATATAGTCAATATACTTAAATTCAAACCTTGAAAGTTGCTTGAGTGTAACATGTATGATGCTGTAAAATTTTGTGTTATGTTTTATTTTCAAGTATTTATAGTTCGCTTTTCTGCTACTTAAGACTTCCAGCTAGCATTTTCTATGGTAGACAACGATCCAGTTAGTGGAACTCTTGGGAACAGAGGGCTTGAATGCTGTATCAGAGTCTTTTATCACCCTTATAGCTTATTCAAGTAATTAAGTTGAAGTGGCTATATTTCTGAGACTCATGATATGCATGTTGAGGGGACTACTGTTAAGTAGAAAAATGAGGGCAGCTTGCTTGGAACATTGCAATATTTTGCTGAGCTGCTGTAAAACGAGTAACTTGTTTTAATATTCATTAGGAAGGTGTCTCTTTAAAGACCTGCTATAAGTAAAGCAACTTAGCTGAATGGTTCTGGTCATCTAAGTGGTAGCTGATTTGGTATATTTAAGCATTCAAACGTGATGTTTTCAGGTAGCAAGGTATTAAGTTTCCTGACAAGTTGTTGCAATGCCTTGCACTAGTTTCAGAAGTATTGCTGTGATAGACCTGATTCCTACCAGCCGTCTTACACAATCTTCTTCCCTCCATAATTTGTATTAAATAGACTAGCATACCACTTGATATTAAAAGTAACTCCTCATATGTAAGGCCTTTTGAGAGATAATAACCAGAACTGAGCTGTATAGTCAAGCACACATCTCTTTTCTGCAGTTTTGGACTTCATAACCACGAGAAGCTTAGTCCACATTTCTATGTATTTTTCTTAAAAACTAAAATTATAGTCAGTAAACTTAAATTCTAAGATTTGTATTTACAGTGTTATAGCCTGACATCCACACAAAGTTCAGTGATAGGAACAGAAATACTATTAAACAGTCGTGAACCTGCAAAACATTTTCACTTTGTGTTTTGCATCTAACCTTGTTCTTGTTGTATCCTACTCCAGAAGCAGGGCAGAGCAAAATGGAGGATTTTTCCCTCTCCACCCACTTTCCTTTCCCATTCCAACAAAGATTATGGTGTACAGAGTCAGTTTTATGCCATCTACTGTATCTGGAATTACAGGCCTAAATCAAGTGAGCATCTGAGTTCACTTGCTGACTTTCAACACTGAAGCGCTTCAGTAAAGCAAAACACTCAGATGCACATCTGCATACATGTTTACATCAGAGCAGAGAACTCTTTGTAGACTCCATTGGCACACAGATATACATTCCACTTATCCACATGTCTTTTAAGCTGCAAGGGAGATTCCCTTTTACAAGAATGGTATCACTGGAATTGGCTTTGGAATATGTGCACTGAATCTCCCCACACACCTTAGGCTCTGGGCTGAAGGAAATCATGCCAAGTGCTTGCTTCCATTCATCTTAACGATCATCTGTAGCAACTGAAAATGAATGTTACTCACTCTTTCCAGGTTGACTAGCAGCATAGCAGAAGTACTTTGTTGCAACTCTTCATCCCATCTAGCTTTTGGGAGGTGGCAGTGTCTTCTTTTAAGGGATGTAGTGGGGAAAAGCATTTTTTCCTTGCACTCATTTGCTCTTCTATCTGTGGAGATTTTC